ACAGGCCACGCCTGTAGGATTAACGGCCGATTGTTATTGTTGTTGTTATATTTTAATGCAGCTGTTTTCAGCGTGAAATCTAAAAGATCTTACGGTTCACCGCGGATGCTCCCATTCTCGAGAATATTTACCTTTTGTTGGATAAATAACAGACCATGCAAACATCTTGGAACAGCACCATCTCTTGGGAAAATTATTTCATTCAAATACTTTCGTGAGTCTTCTCATCTAAAGCAAGTGAAGGGTGCACACTTTCGCTGTTAAGTGCTTCCCATCGCCGCGCCGAATCGCATGAATCCTTAACTGTCTTTGTGAAAAGATCTCGGGAAAGTAAAAGCTATTCCAGCTAGAGTAAAATCTTCTTTTTGATGGCTCTTAAGCACGTAACAACTCGCAGCAAACCATATCGATTGACTCAATCGCTAAGACGCGCAGTCAAAACAAAACTCTTGAGGCCTTACTAGCCTCGCTTTCGCGCAACTAGACCCGGGCAAGCCGAGAGGTCCGCCATATTTGCATTCGGTGTATATCATGTACAAATTAGGCTATTAATTGTTTATACAACTACCCGTAGAAGGTTTGTAATTTTGACATGTAGGTATTTCAAATTAAGCTGAAAATACCACTGCTCTAAGCCAATCAAATTGCAGAAATTTCTCATGTAGTAGTATAAGTCTTGAAATTTCAAGGTGTTGCAGTGCATCAATCTTAATGAATGTTTCAGACATTAATATGTACATTATGAAGACTATGTGAAGAGATTTTAAAAAAATTCGTTCCAGTCGTTTCAGATATATACAAGAAAGCGCTAAAAGTCCAAATTTTGAATGAAGTTGCACTTAGACAGATGTTGAGAAAACGGGTTAGTTTTTAAGATCGTAAGGACGAAAATACACCAAAATTTCGTAGCATCGAAATATGATATTAAGCAGCATTCTGACGCTACTTAAGAATAATTTGAGTCATTTATAACGTTTTTACTTAATAATCTATCGATTATTGGTGAAAATTTTATAGCGATCAGACAAGGATAAAATCTCATTTAAAGCGATTGAAAAATATCGGTATAGCCTCCGAAAAACTATATCGAAACACTTTAACTCCAACGGAAACTTTGCATTCAGCATTCTCAGGGATTGTAACTGTCACGCCTGGGAAGTCAGGATGGCTGAATGAGCCGCCACCAGATGTGATGGTGTAAGTTGGAGAAGCCTTGAGACAGCAAATTACTGCATATGTTGAACACTCGGATAGATCAGCTTGCACAACGGAAAAGAAACATTCAGGTATTTTCAGTCGTGAAGGGTGATTGTCTTCGACGTCTTGACGACAACACATGTCCCTGGTTCCATCTAAGTCTTCCCATTTATTCGCTTTTTTGTCAATCAGCTTTTTTATCACTAGCTCGTAGCCCCAGAGGTCTGTTGCGCTGTGGGATAGCGACAGCTTCACCTTGGTGTTAAATTTTAGTTCTTGGCCATTAATGGAAGATAGTTCAATAACATTGCTAGTGATGGCCTCATGCTCCTGCAGCGGGGGTGAAAGGACACTGTATTCCCATCTGTGAAAAACTATTGACGTACGCGCAGAAACAGCATCAGGGGGGAGCAGCTGGTACCTTTACTTGTTACCATTGCTCCGGATTCTACTTCAATAACTTTCCTCTCTTCTGCGTCATCTACAGTTTGAGTTTTAGTTTCGTCAGTCTGTCTTTTCTTCCACCTCTTTGTTCGATCCTCCATGGTATCCCGCACCCACGCCCTCCTCACTCGCCAACTCAGCCACTTGCTCATGTACTTCAGAATCTTCTTCTGACTCTTCTGTCATCACTTCTGGTGAATCTACTTTAGTAACCTGCGCAGATATATCCAAAAACAACATGTTAGTGTTACATGTTGCAGGAACTATGTGAAACATCTACACTGAACATATTGACTTCCACACTGCAATCGCCCTCTGTCTGGCTATCTTTGTTATTTGTAAACCAATATGTTTGTCTGAATTCGTCATCATTTTCAAAAATTTGTTACCAAAAATTACCTATAGCTTTCAGAAAAAAACAAACAAACAAACAACAACAACAACACGAGGAACTTATCCAGCAGTCGGTTATCATCATTTTAAATTTTTTTTCTACAAATGCTGTTGTTTCTCACCAACATCTCCTTTTTATTCGAATTCGTCAACCCTCCATTCAAAACCTTAAGATTCGTGACAGGGGAGTGACAGTGACGCGTGCCAAATATCTACAAGGAATTTGTTGGCTCACTCATACAAATCCAATTTGTGTACGGGATAGTGGGGAAATTTTGAGAGACAAAAGCCGTTTACCGGGACCTACAATAGTTTGTTACTTTGTCGAAAGGAAAATGGGGTTGGAAAAACAACTTATCCAGGATATTCCTTCATCTGAATCCTCCCAGACCAGCAAATAACGTAGATCTATATTTTTCCAACTCTAAAATTTTGAGGAAAATTTCGTAACTTAAGCCACCAACGTATTCGCACATGTACGTGTGTTGATGTAGCGGGCGTTCGATCAGCGAAAACTAAAACCAACCTTTACAACATTTTTAATCCTGTAATTAATATCACAAAGAAGCTTTTTCAGTATAAAGAAAAGTATAGTTTTTTTTTCTTCTCTTAATATTGTCAGAACGTTTTACTACAGCCTCAAACTTATGTAAGCTTAGTTGTGTCGATGTACTGCGAGATCGAATTATGCAAAACTAAAACTAAACTCAACAACAGTTAAAACTTATATTATCAAAAATGAAGCTTTCTTCAGTATATATAAGGAAAGACCTATGTGTCTTGGTAGACAAATCATTATCTTTTTTGTGTCAAACAAGGATAAAAGAATCAGCTAACTTGAGAGGGCCACATGAAAAATTTCGTAGTTGAGATTTCTCAGTCGGTATTAAATGATTAATTCAGCCGAGCAGGATCAACTCTACACTGTAGGGTTTTTAAAGAGTCATATCTAAAGATACGAATCTTATTGCCGGTTGAATTGAATTTGAATAACAGAAGGCGATGTTGGTAAGAAATGAAAGCATATTAAACAAAGAAATGAAAAACGATGATAACAGACTGCTGCAGGGTAAGTCGTATTGTTTATTCAAACTTGTAAGCTAAATGAAATCATTTGACAACAAAGTAGAAAACTAGCGAGGCAAAAGTCTGAATGAAAAACGACAGAATCTAAATCATGGGAAACGGAACAACAAACAGAGCAAAACTTTCGAATAAACAGTGCATAAAAGCAAGACTGCAGTCCTTACAGTGCGCTCGCTTGTCTCCATGTCGGAATGTTAAAATGAAAAAAATTTTCTTAGACCCTGTTTACATGGAGTGGGGAACCCGGTCTAGTGCGGTAAGTTTCTTTTGTTTTGTGTCCCACAGAGCGTGAAAACAAAAGAAACCAACCCCACTAGACCGGGGTCCCCCACTCCATGTAAACAGGCCCTTAGGGGACTAAACTTGTAATAATTAGTCTGACGAAAACCCCCAGGGGAGCCTGGGTCCTGTCACTGGTCCACAAGGGTGAAGGACGCGGTCCACACTCTTCGATGTTTGGCAGGCAAAGCCTCCGCACTTTTTGTCCTTTTCTCGTTTTCAGACCCATCACGGTCAGCGTAACCGTTGCAAAAAGAGTTACCTAAGGAGGAGGCTAAATTGTAATTACTTGGGAATCGACTTTCTAATCGACAATATCTACGTCCGTTTTGTGGTTGGTATACCGATGGGCACCAACAGCGCACCGTTATTGGCCGACCTGTCCCTCCACACTTACGAGTATGATTTAATGCTTACGACAATAAAACAGGATATGCCGAAAGCAGTCTCGTTTGGTAATACCTTTCGTTACATAGACGAGCTATTCAGCGTAAACAACGAAGGTCTTGGAGATTACATCAGTGCTATCTACCCTTCGGAACTGGAATTGAAGGAAACCACCATAACATCGAATGAACTGTTATCTCGACACTAGAATAAAACACGAAGACGACGAGACACCTTATCATATCAGCGTCTACGACAAGAGGGATGACTTCAACTTTCAGATCGTCAATTTTCGCGCCCATATGGACAGCAACATCCCAAGCAATCCGGCCTATGGAGTATACATATCTCAACTGGTGAGGTATGCCAGGATTTGTAGATCAAACGTGGACTTCATACACAGGCTCCATCAGATCTAGTCATGCCTCCAGCGACAAGGTTTCAAATATGTCTTGTTACTAAAATCACTTGCCAGATTCTTCAACCGTCATGGTGCGATTATTGGTAAGTATGGTACTACACTGCGAGCGTTGAAAACAGCGGTCACGGAATAAAAAACACCGCCGTATCCTTTATTATATGTTATTAAGTATTATTATTATTATTATTATTATTATTATTATTATTATTATTATTATTATTATTATTATTATTATGTTGTCATGTTTTCTTTAGTTAGATGCAGATGTCCCCGCGCTAGCCTTCATTATGTAGTGCGCGTGCTATCTTCATTTAGTTGACGCGTACGGTTAGTCATAGCCGTTAACGGCTTTATTTTCACTGTTTTTCCTTACTAATAGATAGTGTCAGTAACTGTGCTCACATTGTGGGTGGTTCCTCCTAACATGTTCTACAATTGATATAGGATTTAAAGGAGCCGAAACCAGTTGTGGCATTGCACACATTTTAGTCATCCTACTGATGAACAGTTACTGCTTTTAGATAATTTCACACGCTACAACAATTATTTGCGGTTTGTTTCCTTACAATTGCGATAAAAGTTAAAGTTTAAAAGTTTAAAATGTTGTATTAGTTATGTTTAGCGTGCTACATCAACACACGCTAACAGTAGACAACGTTTAGACTGTTGAGGGTGGAAAAAGATCAATAAATGCTTAGAAAGCAGTTTTGTTCAACGTGTCTGCCTCTGCTGTGATTGGCTAATATTACAAAGCGCTAACAAATGTCAGTTCATTATTCTACCCGATAAAGGCTCAAACACTATTTTCAGGACTTACAGACTTGACTATTCTTTCGTGACATTCTTTGGCTGTGGGGCGTTTTTTTGGATCCTCGTCCCAACACTGTGTCATCAGCTGCTTCCAGAATGGTGGAGGCGTCTTACAGCCCTGCCTGTGAACTGGACGGTTACCTCTATCAACCCAGTCAAACAAATCTTGTGGTGTTGTCCCTGGAGCGTCAGCAAAGGCCGTTTGCCCATACCACATCTCCCACATTATTAGCCCCAGGCTGTAGATATCTGCCTTGGTGCCGTACACTCGGGAATGAAACACTTCCGGTGCCATATAAACAGGTGTTCCCGCATAGGTGCCGGTGATGTCTATTTCTGCTTTAGCCAGACCAACGTCAGCAATTTTCACTGTGTTTTCTTCAGTCAGCTTTAATGGAACAAGAAATAATATTCAGAAGAGCGCAATTACTGTAGATATTTCCATATTTCTCTCAGAACCAAAAATGGTGGATCCCTGGAGACAAGGTTGTCTTTTGGGCTGGGCAATAGAATCCTACGTAATATGACGAACAGTTAACTGTGAGAGACTATTGCCAGGCGATAATTCTGGGTGCACTGTACCCTTTTCGAGTACCACTATAATGTTCGATAGAATTTATAAACCAATGTTACATTGCAGTTAAGTGTGCACCTGAACCTTGAAGTAGTTTTGTTGGTAGATCACTGTTCTTTTGTGTGTCGCTTAGCAGTTTGTTTTCAATAAGGCCACTTTTTCTATTTTAGAGGCTTTTAATTGAAAATATTGGCCTTAATATTTAAAATGCCTCAGACATTAGATGCCTAGCTAAAACCGATATCAAATTTAACATCAAAATAATTCAGAGGGACGCCCTTGCTTATGGACAACGTAGGGTGCAAAGTCCTCTTGCTCCACTCTGGTGTGCACGTACCAACAACTTTTATTAGACTACAGTCATAATAATTTATTACATTATTCTAGTTTTGTACCAAAATGTTTTCCAACTTGAGGTCCCTGTGCACGACTCCCATCGCATGTATGGAAGCCAAACCATCGGTGATCTCTTTTGCCCAACGGCGTGCTTCTTCGAACACTGTAGGATCTTTGGATCTAGAAGGAGGTGACTCTAGTTCTTTGAAGATGTGGTTCTTTAAGTGTCCTTTACACTTTTCCATGACCAAAACTGTTTTTAAAGTGTCCTTGTCAAGTAACATACCATGAAACTGCACGATGTGAGGGTTGTTTAGCACTCTAATGATCAGGGAAGACAAAACTTGCCGTTAAACTCATTTTTTTTATTATTATTTTACATCAAATCGTACATGAGTTCCGATCATTGTTTAACACCTCCCTCTCTCTCCCCCCCCCCCTCTCTCTCTCTCTCTCTCTCTCTCTGTAAACATACACGTACTCATATACGTATACACATACATATACATTCATAATATACATATACATAACAAGTTTTACTAGTTCTGCAACGCTTTCGAGTGGTATACTATGGAATATCCCACGAGTCACTTGTATTTTCTTGGTATACCACGAGAAAGCGTTGCAAAACTATTTTATACCATGCGAAGAAAATACAGTAGGCGGCATAATAAAAGCGACATACGCGCAGACATGGCTTTGAATGGCTTCCTATTGTCTTAAATTGTTTATTAATTTATATTCATAAAAAAATGCTTATTAATTAAAATTCATGATACAGAATAGGAAAAAATGATTGTCAAATAAATTATTTTAGTCAAAGGCGTGCAAAATTTGTACTGAGTTTTAAACTCTAAGACGGAGCAAAAGAACAGGAAATTTAAAAACTCTCCCAAAATATTAGATGATTGAAATTCATGAAAGAAAATAAGGGTACTAAAGTTTTAACTGGGCATGAATGTTAACTAGCCAAAAAATGCAAAGAATGCAAGTCAGAAAGTTAACGTCGTGAAAGAGTTGCAAAATTTGGACTGAGTTTTATGAACACTAAAACCGAGAGAAAAACCTTAACTAGGCGGCTTGAAATAAACTTGAAATGTCGCCGCTTACAAAAACTTTCGGCGGGAATAAGATCGCAACGCACGATGGGAAGATTGGGTGTAATACCGTCGAATATACAACAACTTTCCTGTATTCTGAATGGCTGTATTTTCTATGGCATGGTATAAATGCTCTTATTAAAAACTGAATCATTGGATAATGCAATTCTAGCATTTTGATTGGCTTAGCCGTTATGGTATATGAGCTATTATACCATGCTCTCCTTATATGGTCGGTGTACGCGTCAGTTTAAAATTGGAAGCTAGCTGAGATTTTTTTTCGCGAAGGATAGAACGGCCCCCGAAGCAAATCGTCTTAATTCATTTCTTAGAATACTAGAAATGCAATTTCATCGAAAGAAAAAAGACAAAAACAAACAAAAAAGCCACAAGACCTTGTTTGAAAGTTTGTCGAAAAACACATGAAAACACATGGAACTAAAGTACCTTGACCAGCTACGAAAGAAGACAAGTGTTGTTTCTTCATGATCGCGAAGCCATTCGCCGATCGAGTCACTCGCCGATAGATAACTGCGGCTTATTTATCCGACATCAAGAATATAAATCACAAGTAACCAGCTACAAATACAGGCTATGCAGCCATTCACTAGAGCAATCGAGGCGGCAGTATAGCTTCTTTTCTCGTTCAGCAAAACCAGCTTGTGGCTTCAAACAACTTCATGACAAGCGACCGAGGTAATAGTTTTTCTCCGTTGTTGTTACTTTTATAACTGCACCGAAAATCCAAATTCACAGTAATTTCGACGGCTGTCACTTAAAAATTCTTTTCCTTCACATTATCTGCCAGGTTTTTTTAGCTGTTCTGCTGTGTAAAATCCTAGAATCCCAATGAGTTTTTAAAAAACTACTGTTTATCGCTACAATGTTTTGATTTTTGATTCATGCAGTCCAGGCGAGTCCGTTCGCGCGTTGACAGTTTTGATAGACGTGTGACATGTGAATAGCGGAAGTCCCTTGTCTTTTCCGAGTTCTTCTAGTCGGGGAGATTCAATGAGATTTTGTGGGCGTTTTTAATAAAACAATTATTCTACTCGAGCTTGTTGGATATGTGATGATTATAGCCAACTCGGCGCTACGCGCCTCGTTGGCTATCTATCATCTCATATCCAACGCGCCCGCGTGGAATAATTGTTAAATATACAAGTACATCTACATATACATCTACATATACATATACATATACATGTACATGTACATGTACATGAACATATGCATGTACCCGTAAAATTTCAAGTCCTCTTCTGTTACATAATAGAACCCATAGAAACAGCGTTGTATCCGTAGTAACCGCATTTTAAATTTCAGTTATAATCAGTGTACTGTTGTAATCTACCATTAGACTATTTTATCTGAAGATTGCTACACCATCGTGTAGTACCAAACTATATAGTGATAAAATGCCTAATCAAATCTTCAGTTGATGAAACATTGTACTTCTGGTACATATGCCTATACATATACACCTAAAATTTGCAACTGCCGTCAACCAGCTCATTGCCCTTTGAACTGTAACTGCTTAAAATCAGCTGTGATCTACCAAGCCCCAGTGACAACGGAGGAGAAAAGGCCAGCTGAGATCTATGTAGACCTTGCTGAGAACTCTTTTAAGACCAGATACGCGAACCACAAGTCTTCTTTCAGAGACCCAAACAAGCGACTCAGTGCAGAACTCAGCAAACACATCTGGCATTTGAAAGACGCTAAGATTGAATTTAATGTAACTTGGAAGATCTTACTCTAAACCATGTCGCCCCTTTTAATTCAACTTCAAATCGCTGTAATTTGTGCCTGTGGGAAAAAATATTTTATCATCTACAGACCCGATCTGGCGAGCTTGAACAAGCGAAATGAGCTTGTAACTTCCTGCAGGCACGAGAGCAAATTTCTTCTTAGCAGCTTCATACCTTCCGTTGTCACGCAATAGTTTTTTATTCAAATTCTGCGCTCGCGTTTGTAGTCTTAGCGTATGTTGTAACGAACTTTTTGTTGGCAATTTTATCTGAGGAGTGCCGCACATGCCGTGCGGTGCCAAACTAAATAAGAATAAAAATGCCAAGTCGGATCTCACGTTGACACCAGACAACCTAGATTATATATTTTCTGAACTGGTTAGAATAATTTTTCTAGAGTGCTCAACTTTTCAGGAGCAATTAGGCTATAGGCTATAGAGGTTATACATCGCTTTATTGCCATAAAGCGATGTATAACCTCTGAAGCCTGGAACTATCTGCCAATTGCATTACATATATAATTACATATACATAAATCCATTGTTCAGTCCATTTGGCCTTACAGAATTTAGTGTCTTCTACCATAATATCTCCCTGTGTTGGAGAATTTCTCTTTTCTGTTCGATTTCTAAACGATCCTTTCTAATTTGTTCAATTAATGTGATGGTCTCATTATCGTCAAAATTGTGTTTAGGCGTTAATGAAGACTGTCTCACATTCTATCGACATTTTGCCATGCCTTTTCATGATACCCAATTAACGCTGGAAATTCGCTTCATACCTCAAGTTTTTCATCTCCTCCATGATTTCGATTGCATTATCGACATCAAGCGCCTCTTTCCACACCTTCAATGCCACAGTTGTTATCTTTCCGTCGCCGATTTTCATCGTTCCTTTGTAAACGTTACCAAATGTCCCACTGCCAAGGAAGAAAGACTTTTCCTCTTTCCAGTTCAATTTCTCGCGATCGATTCTTACCGCACAAACTTCGGTTAGGCCAAACAGTGCCAGCTGGTGCCTTTGTTGTTCCACCTCATGGAGCAGCGACTGGTAGGCAGATCGTTCACCGACAGGTTTCTCCTTTTTACATTGCTCATACAGGTCCCTGTCCGCCTTGATCTTCTCTGAAAGACGAGCTTCAATTCTATCAAGACAAAGCTGAGTGTCCTTCAATTTGTCATTAACAAACGATTTAAGCTGATTTTTATTTATAAATCTTGCAAGAATGCCTACGGAAACAGATGACAATAAATCTTTGTATAAGGCTTGAACAGCCAAACCAGTCCACTTCTTCGAATCATGTGCTCGCGATTGTTTGCAGGCGCTCTTTAAATCAAAATTTAACCGGACCCCCAAGGTGGGTGAACCGTAGAAAAAACCTTTCACGATCCACCCAAGTTTTTGAAATCGTGAAATTCGAAATGTCAGAAATCTTTGCTTGTCGAAGTCAACATCGATAGCATCGCTTTGAAGATCCTGTAGCTGCAATTCAACATCATCATAACAATTTTGAAACCTTTGCGTCAGGGAAAGATGAGCATTTTCAAACGCCTTGGTTTTGTCCTCCCACTGATAGACAAATTCTTGAACCCGTCTGAACAGCAAGGTGTTAACGTTCTCTTCAACTTCGGTCCAGGACCCTTTCCTAGCCGGGACTTCTTCCAGGGACCATGATGAAAAGCGCTCCTTTACATCTTTTGACGAGAGATGTTCCACGAGTCGCTCCACAATACCGTCAACGTTTTTGTTCAACACTTTTCTGAGACCTTTCATCACTTTCTCTCGATTTTTTTCAATTTTTTCTAAGTGACTAAGAATCTTGTCCAGTCTCTTCTCGACCTCCTCACGGCTCCTTGAAGCACTTACAACATGCACTTTTGCTTGAAAGAAAATCCTTGATAGAAGTTTGTAAAGCCATCTAAAACAAGAAAATGTTTCTTTCAGTAATTTATATTGTTACGATGAACATTCTAACTGTTCTACTTCTTATTCATCAAGGGGCTTTGATCAATTTGTGCTAGATAATTTCCGCAAATCTCTCGGCTACGCTTGAGCCGTAGGCTTGAAATAAGTTTACGTTAATACAATGACTCTCTCCATCTTTTAAAAGCTCGTGATCTTGATATCGGCTTGAAAGCTCAAGAAAGTGTGAGGAGAAAATGCTTTCGCAACCATACCGTTCTCCCTATGATAATGAGAAGAAACATACAGATCAAGCAATTAAATGTTAAATTACAAAATTTCTCCAAAGAATCGACCGCATACTGCACTAGACCGACAGAAAAAAATCTCGGTGTGGTTTGATAGTCAGTTAAGTATGTGAAGCAGTTCGTGATGATTGATGGTGTAAGTCTGATGTGAAAGACCCTCAATGTGGTGTTCCACAAGGACCGGCCCTTCGTCCTATTTTGTACTCGCTGTCAATCTAGTCTCTGGGTGACATTAATATTTTAAGACACCATGGACTCGAGTTTCACCTATGACACCCATATCTACTTTGCTTTCAGGCCCACTGCAGTCGAGCAACAGACAACTGTAATTCATTACTCTATGGCGTTCCTCAATTTCTGATCGACCGTGTACAAGCTGTCCAAAACTGTGCCGCTCGCCTTATAACTAGCTCTAGAAAACATGATCATATCACACCTGCTCAACAGCAATTAGACTGGCTTCCCGTTTATAGCCGTATCAAATACAAGATACTTTTGTTAACCTTCAAAGCTTTACATGGGTTCGCACTTTCCTACATAACAGAAATGTTGCAATTCTACCGACCATCAAGAAGCTTGAGATCTGCTTCCAAGAAACTCCTGAAACTACCATCAGCTAACTTGAAGAGTTATGGCTGTCGGTCGTTTTCATTTGCCGTACCTAAACTATGGAATTTATTGCCAGAACCTGCCCGCCAACGTGATGATCTTGCAAATGTTACGACCGCTATAAAGACTTACTTATTTCGCGAGCTTTTAATGTAAAGTACTTTAATAATATATATGATGTAAATATTAGTAGTTAGTTTAAACAGATTTTAGTTAAGTATTTTTCCATATTTTTGTTTTTGATCAAGGAATGTAAATTTTCTTAACATTATTTCTATTTATAATATTTCTTTGTAAAGCGCCATGTGCTAATTTACATGGCGCTATATAAATGCTTTTATTATTTTTTTAAATTATTTTATAATATGTTACTAAATTTTTTAAAATAATATATTAGGTGCATTAGGAAGTAGTTATCTCGCGATTATTTATTCTCAAACTCATTAACAATTCATAACGAAAATACAAACTAAGGAAATTAATATTTATGTTAATGAGTGTTTGGAAATCACATGAAAAACTGCTCATTTTTGTATCCTTAATTTCCCCCTTCTAGAATCATTTTGTTTGAGAAGTAATATCAAGCATTTGACACAGTGTTTCATCATTAGATGAAACACCTCGAATTTCGTCAAAAATACTCCGCTGCCCGTTGTATTTTTAACTCTCTTCTCGGTGTTTCATCTGGTGATGTTACAATGCATCTCATGCTTGATATATTATTTCAAACTTATCCATGCATTTATTGCCAACGAGGCAACCGAGCTAAGAAGCGAGGTTGCCTCGGAGGCAGATTTGTAATCCGGCACGATGTAGGCAAAACCTCTCAAATTTTGTGTAACCCTCTAAAATTTGCATTTTTGACCATATTTGGGAGTAAGTAAGACCCCATATTTGGGTAGTGACGTCATGGTCTTGTATTTACAACGCGTGGTCCGAAAGTGGGTGATTCAGTGTGCAGCTGTTCGTTGTCTGTTCAAGAGGCCCTAGCAGGTGAGCAAGCTTTAATACGATTTCTCGTTTGAAAGGACAATTAGTGCTCTGGTTTGCTTTATAAATTGCGTTTAAAGCAGCAGCTGATCAAGGAATAGGGTTTTACGCTCAAATTTTTGTCAGAACCAGCTTGTTCTTTGCAGCTCCATTTACAATGAGGTAGCGTGTTCGCTTCTTGACTCAGAACCAGGGTTTTCCGTGTTCTCTTTTTCTTTGTGAATTGAATTTTAAGCGGTACTTGATCAAGGCATAGGGTTATATTCTCAAAACTTATATCAGAACCAGCGTGTTCTTCGCCGGTCGATTTGCACTGAGCCAGTCCTCACCTCCCGTGAGGAATGCAACGAATTTACGGACCTTTTTTTAGAATTTATTCATGTCACTCTTTAGATTTTGTCAACCAGCATGTTTTTTTGCTGCTCGATTTACATTGAGACCGCCCAAAACTCCCGTGAGGAATACAACGAACTTGCTGACCTTTTGTTTTGAAGACTATCATTATGCCTTTCAAGAGAATCTTTGTCCTGTGACATTCGCTCATTAGATCTTTGTATTTTAAGCAAGTTTATATTTTTATACCTGAGATACATTCCGCCACATTCTTGCGCTTTTCACACATTTTACTTTACACCAATTTTTTTTTGTGTATATTACTGCGCGAAATATTTTTCTTATCCCTGATGACGCTGTTGCTCGGAATTTAATTATTATCTATAATTTCAGCAGTCAAAGGCCTCATTTGAACTATATTTTTCTTTCTTACGTTTATAGTTTTGATACAATGGAATTTTTCGTGAAACATAAGTGCTAACTTGCTCATATTTACCAACAAAGCTTCAAGCTATGTTGTTATTGATTAATAAAAGTGAAAGCCTAGAATTAACGAAAGTTGTTGTTTTGAAGTTGGGTGCCATCCTTTTCTATAGCGGAATCCATTTTAAACCTCTAAAATTATGAAAAAAAATTATCGCCAAGATCTGAATAGGCACATTCCACAAAAGATAAACGAATTCTCCTCGTTGGCACTTGCCGGAAGGTATCCCTAGTTCCTAGTGGCTTAGAGTCAGTGTTTTGTATGGCTTACCTAAGTCAAATTGCAACGTATTCAAAATGCAGAAGGGAGACTTGCTATGAACATCTGCAAGTACGCCCATATTACACGGCACCAGGCGCCAAGACTGCCATGAATTCAAAGGTAGATTCCCACAGAAAAGGTACAATTTTGAGGAAAAGCCGCGGCGAGCCGAGCAGAAATCGTGATCTAAGCAAACTCGTCAGTGAGACGCACTGACAAATGTTCTTTTATCTCGATTTTCGTTCTTATTTTGAAACTGCTGGTCCAAATATAATTGCTTCAGTATTCTTTAAAAGTACTTTACCCGTTAAAAGCATCTCTTGATCGCCAAAACGGCCGGCCGCAAACAACGCCGACCAAGTTTTTTTTGTTTTGATGACGTCGTTACGGACACGGTTATCGAATGGGCTACTTGAGTTTGCGGGCCGCTATGATCGACGCGCAATCCCTGCGCTGTGCGCGCGAGAAAATTATAAACCTTTACTAAGCAAGAAATTATTATTAAAACGTAACGTAACTGTACCGCACTCATCTTGGCGTTTTATCTGGTTCTTGGCGATCTACTAAATCCTTCTTTTGCCCTACGATTAGATGATGGTACCGAGTTCAGCGTTGGCAGTGAGCTTCATTTCTTTTCTTCTAGCCTGCTAAGCTTTCTTCCGCTGCATCGCTTCGTGTTGTCAAGCTTACCGATGTGTTACTCGCAGGTCTGCTTTTATCTGGGCCCGAATGTTAAACTGACCTGTCCTCGATGTTCAAAAGCTTTAAGGAGAAGCCAAGGCCGTGAATTATGTCGTTTACAGCAAATCGCACTATCACTTGAAATGTTTGGATGTTGAAAACTAAGCTGTGCTGTCTGTGTAGCCTTGGTTCTGGTTCTGAAATAAATAGCAACGTGGAATTTACCTTATCGAAAGTTCAGCTGCCAAATGCCCTAACTGATGTTTTGAAAACCAGAGGATTGAAAAAAGCTCAGTTAAACATAAGGAGTTTGCCCAGGATAATTGATGAATTGAGGTTATTCTTGCAGCAATGTCGATATATCGGGATCTTGTCCCTCAATGATTGAAACTTGGCTTAACGAGCGACTGCCAACTCAGATGAAGTTGCAATCCCCGGCTTTATTTGGTTCGAGGCGCGATCGCTCCTCAGGTCGTAAAGGTGGTGGCGTTGCAATTTATATCTCCAAGAAAATACCGGCTGTGCGAAGATGCGATTTAGAGGATACTGCACTAGAGAACCTTTGGCTGGAGTCAACGCTTCCAAAGTCAAAAAGGATGATTCTCAGTTTTTGGAAATCTTTAAACTGGGCTTGGAAAGAGTGTCGGGAGAGGATAAAGACAACGTTGCTGACTGGTGATTTTAATTAGTCTCGCTCGCGTAGCAACGCCGGAGACTTATAATCTGCAAGCCGTTTTTTTTCTTCGTATTTAGTACACAAACTGGGAACCATGGTCCCAGGCGTTCTTAGCGGAGACCGTGGAAACTGAGAATAAGAACCGTTGCTTGACCGAGGCCACACATAGCTTAGGAAAGATAAATGCGATTTAGAACTTTTCAGGAACGGGTCGGTCCTCGAATTCTGTCGCTTGAAAGCGTTGATTTCTTTGGAACAAGTGAACACTTCAGTGGTCGAAAAAATTAAAAAAGAATAATCTTAATTAGAAAATCGTCGATGGTGAGGTTAACTGGTCGGGTGTTGTAAACTTTTATTGTATGCAAATAAGTCTTGAGTGTTGAGCATGCGGTTTATTTTCGGCGATGATTGAAATGACGCGCCGTGTTCACAATTTTTTTTTTATCTCTGGCACTGATGTAATTTCTCTCGAATCGAAGCCCTTGAATTTTCGTGTATTTATACACGCGTATAGCCTGCGACCACAGACGTATTTCCGGTCGTCGCTAACACGCACGAATACTAAATCAATTCAGAAACAAATCATCGAATATGATATAAAAAGTAAATATCCACCAGAATACTCGACCGTCGATAAAGTAGGAAGTGAAAAATCTTTAGCGAGTAAATCCTGTTTCGTGTAGAATCAATCGCCTCCTCATTTCTTATCTACTCTCTAAGCAAGCGAGACTTAACGCCGCTCTTAAGAGCGTTCAGTTACGATCTTAAAGCACCGACGCGAGAAGCAGATTTGAAGACCTAAAGGCATTTTCCACCTTGATGATTTCATACAAATGATTGAAAACTTAGTGCTACAATTATTGACTTGATAGTGACAAACAATTCGAGCAATATAGTCAAGCAGGCAGTCGTCCCCTTTATTTTAAGTGACCATGATCTTGTTTCGTATGTTAGGAAAATAAACACTTTGAAATATGCACCCAAAATAATTGATGCAGAGACTATAGAAATTATTCACCTGACGAATTTTGTAAAAGCTTGAGTCAAATCAACTGGGACCCAGTCAGAAACGTCTCCAACGTAAACAATGCCTTGGATGTTTTTTTTATGTCAACTTTAAAATTCTGTGTGATCAACACGCCCCTTTGATCGAAAAGAAAGTCAGGGGTGTTAACTACCTATGGTTTACACATATTAAGAAATTAATGCAGCAAAGAGATTGTTTCCTAAAGAAGGTGAGACGGACAAAAAAAGAAATGGATTGGATTGCCTACTGGAGATTAAGAAACGCCGTGAACAACAAAGTGCAGCCCGCGAAAGCCAATTACAACCGGAAACTTATTCACGAAAACATTGATAACTCAAAATCTTCCTGGAGAGTTGTGAAAACAGTACTTCCTAACGACTAGAAATTAAAACAATCTATGTCTTGCATCAAAGTCGATGGCCATCTCAAGACCGACAAAAATGCCATAGCTGAAGGTTTTAATCACTTCTTGGCCTCAATTGTCAAGACCATCAGTGACAAATTATGTCAAAGATCGTCTTTTTCCTGCCAACGACAGCAGTCACCTTTGCAAAATACTGAAGCTCCTTTTACAAACGGAACCTTCGAGCTTAGTCTAGTAAGACCTAATGTTGTTTAAGAATGTTAAAAAGGAACAAAGTTACTGGGGTAGAAAATTTTTTGCACGCTTGCTTAAGGACGGAGGCCGGTTGTTTCGGAGTTCTTGACTCACATAATTTAACCTTTCCTTTTCATCTGGAGTGGTGCCGGACGATTGGAAGACCTCAAGAGTTGTTCCTTTATTCAAGCCCGGTAACAGAGAAGAAATGGATAATTATCGTCCCATCTCTATTCTCCCAATGATTTAAAAAATCTCTGAGAAAGTCGTATATCATCAATTGTTTAGCTATATAAACGCTGACAATCTTCTTTCGCCCTATCAATCTGGCTTCCGGAAGAATTTCTCCACTGAAACAGCCGTAACCTTTTTTTGTGGACGAGTGGATAACGGTGTTCTCACTGAGACGGTCTTCATTGACTTCAAGAAGGCTTTCGATACTATGGACCACCGTATCCTTCTAAACAAGCTACACAGATATGGCATTTGTGACAGGACTCTTTTCTGGTTTTCTAGTTATTTGCAAGGCCGTTTCCAACGTGTAGAGGTCGACAAACTTCTCTCCTCGCCCTTGGTTTTTTTTTTTTTTTTAACGTATGCGCCTGACCTGGCTGCCCCAGATATATTAGCTGCTGTTTTCCTCTTCTCTCCACGCCCAATTCTTACTTTTAACCACGTTTTTCAACTTAGTTCAAAGACTGAACATTAAGCTCAGCTATAGACGAAAGATGGCATCTTTCGGGACATTTATTGGCAGAAATTTTGACGATTTTCCGGCTATCACTCTTGGATTCCCTTGCCTGGAAAACAGTGTACTAACTGCTCTGAATACTTTTAGTGCGAATCGTTCACTTTCGGGATTCTTTTTTAAACCTCCATAAAGTTATAGACGCTGTAGAGCTGGTAAACAAGTACGTGAACGGCTGTTAAGGAGGTCAGCGGTGCTCCAAGATGGCGTGAGTGCATTTTGTTATCTCCCTAAACTTTGTAGCATTTAAATGTACTCCTGTCTGTGCCGTTTGACCTTTTAACATCCTCTATGGTGTTTTTCACTTAAGGATTAATAAATATATATGTATGTATGAGACATACTATTTCAATTGTTGATTCAAGTCAAAATCGACCAGCTTCATTATGTACTCAAAGTGACACCTTCGGAGGACAACGAACGAAGCAAAATGATGTTAGCACGAACAATCCCATTTTCATTCATCATTCTTCGTTTAAAGGCATTTATCCGAATCAAAACCGATGTGCCAGGGGTATCTAGGACTCTGTTGCCTGAACACCATATGTATATTAAAAACAAATCGGCGAATTTCATCTGCTATGAATCTTCAACCTCTGCTGATATTTTCGTTATCACTGAATCGTGGTTGTCCGAAAGATATGTGGCCGACAAAGCGCACATTACGCTACCGGGGTACAAATTGTTTGAACATCAGCGAGTTGGAAGGAAAGGTGGGGGAATTACATTGTTACTGAATGAAACAGTTGATGCCCGAAAAGGGGACTGTGGTGAACGTAGCTCGTTCAGTTTGGTGAATGGATTGTTAAATACGGGTCTAGTCTGGCTACATTAGATCTCATTATCACGCTACTCTCAGATTCTTTGCTTTGTGCAAAGCCTATAGCTGATTACCTGTTCTCTGTTCATATTATTGTTTTATGCGACCTTAAGCTGGAAAAACCACCCCCGAAATAAAAGCAAATGTCTTATAGGAAAATCAAAGACATTCAAGGATAAGCTCCAGGATGAATTAAGGTCTTCAGAGCTCTGTCAAAGCACACCGGACACGCTTGATAAACTTGTTAACAGCTTTGGCTCAAGCTTTTGACCGGCATGTACAATTGCGTACGAAAGTTATTCGCTCTAGGCCACTGGTTCAACGAGGAAATCAAGGCTTGCATGCAAGGTAGGAGAAGCGAAAGGCCGAGAGGAAGAGCCGTCGCACCGGCTCCATGAAAGATATGCTGGCGTATGAAGCAAAAAAGAACAATGCTTATGCTTTAATGAATAAAGCTCGGTGCAATTCTATCATGACTTCATTGAGGATAATTGCAGCAATCAGTGCAGTCTCTTTTCAGCAGCGAAGATGCTCCTCAGCCAGGGAGACAACAGGGCTTTAATTGTACTCTCCTGTGGATGATGACGTTGAACTGGCGAATCAAACGGGAACTTTCTTTGTTCAGAAAATCGAAATCATTCGTTCCGAGCACGATAACATGGCACAGGGACTACCATCGCTTTTTGATGACCGCACTCCAGTAGCACCTCCCCCGCTCAGCAAATTCAGCCTCCTTTCTGAGGAGGCTCGCAAACTTATCAGCAGCAGTGCAAAGAAAAGTTGCACTTTGGACCCTCTGCCGACATCCCTAGTGGTGGATTGTATTGACGTACTTTTACCGATCATAACGAACATGCTTAATTTATTACTAGAGTCTGGGTTGTTCGTAGACTTGCCTACAAGTCGAGCTCAAAAGTTTTTCACGAGCGCGAAGCGTGAGCGGCAGATTTTTTATGTTTTCTGCGGCAAAAGCGAGCGAGAGAGCAAGAGCTCGACTTGTTTTCCCTGCAAAAAATCGCATCAAGTGACGTCATTTTGGCGCAAACTATTTGCTTCCCTGTCGCGTGTGTTGTCGCGTGCGTGTGTCGTCGCGAGCTGTCAAAGTATGTCAAAACAAACAAATAACGGACAAAAAGTTCGATAAGAGAAAGAAAATAAAGTAAATAAAAGAATGTTCAATACGAAAAACGGTAATGAACAAAAGTGCCGTCTTGTGATATTTGTGAGTTCAGTCTCTAGACGTTTCGGGCTCGTTGCAGGGTATACGCCATGAAAGGAAACATAAAAAAATAAAAACTTTGAAGTGCGCGCGCTCAAAACAAAACAAGTCGGTAGTGTTTTTTCTCTCCGTGGCTGCCGGGAAAATCCGACCTTGGTGAAGTACGCAAATGGAGGAAGATAAAACGCCCACTAAAGCTTTTTATTGAATACAGTCGATAAAACGAAATCGAAATACAGCCCGCAAAAATACACAGTTCAATTGAATTGGATCAAAACAGTTCAAGTCACGTTTCATGTGGCGTGATCGGGTTTGATTGACGGCCCATCAGTAAAACTGTTCGTGATTGGATAAAACGTAGAGGAGAAAAATTCCTCCTGTAAATTTGGCGCGCTGCAGGGGATAAAAGTCCTTTGCGCTGGGGCCAACTACCGGAAACAGAAATGAGAAGCGATCTTTCCGTCTCAAGCCCGGGATCAGTCTTTCACCCGTGTAGCCCGAAATTAGACGAAATACGAGAAGATATTGGACGCAGCAGACTTTGCCAGACGTGAGAATTGTTCCTTCATAAGGCTTAATGATGCTATCAGGAAACCTTTGCTCAAGGCAGTCAAAAAACCCTAAGACAACCCACTATGATAGCCGAGTTCAGTCTAATACGCGCGCTGATTTTAAAGTGACATACAGAGAGAATTATGGGAAGTTATGAAAAACTTTTTTTTGGGGGGGTGGTTGGTAAATAGCCAGTGAGAAACTCATCAAAGTCTATCTACTGTAGCCTATCCGGTACCGATTAAATAAATAAAAAGTAACCGAAAAAAAAAATTATCCACTACAAGACTCAGTCAAATTGGCAAAGTTTGCTGTCGTCCAAAATGTTACCGTTTTCGTCTCATTTTGGCTAAAAGGGTGAAACACTGAAAACCATCTCCTTGGTGCATACTATTCAGGATTTGACTGATCCTGGCTGGAGAGTTTTGATTAAGAGGGAAATTTCATTGCGACGGGAATGGTCTCGCCGGTCAGTTTTGACAAATGGAAAGCGCCCTTAGTCAAAAATTGTTTTGAAGGCCGGCCTCTATGTGTCCCTTTTAAAACGGCTCGTCTACATCCGGGATCTTGAATAAATCGACTGTGTCAGCAAAGTTTACATGTGACGATTTATGTGGAAAAAGCGAGAGTTATTGAGAGAGAGTAATTTTGATGATATTTCGTATTAAATGTGGAAACATTGTACCATGTTGGTTGTGGATAGTTTTATTAGTGCCGCGAACGTGGTTAATTGTGTGATTTCTTGAAGTTGTTGACAGACAGATTTCAAGTATGTCGTGGCGCTCGTGTTATAAGAATATTGTGTACAAGCATAAAAACGCTTTTTGGTGTTTAGCTGAAGTGATTTTGTCTTAGACAACCGATTGTGGGCTCAAGAAAGGTGGATTCTAGGTCTGCTTTAGTCGGGCATCTCGCTATGAGCATCATAGTTTGAGAGACCGAAACGTCATTATTTCTGTGCTTTTAAATGTTATTCATTTCGTTACAAATCTGTCGCTTTTGCCAAGAGCAACTTTTCGTGTGTTGCCAGTCATTAATTTGTCTGTTTTAAGCCCTAACTATAGCGACTTTCAACTGCTTTTTATTCACCTCAAGGGTCAAATTATCAAAACACACGTGAGATTTTTGTAGGTACCTTTTTATAAATCCAGACAGATATATATTTATAATTTACACGCGCTCTTTTGCCAGGAGGTGTCTAGGTTCAGCATGCTTCCCATCCTCTGTAACGGAACCTCCCTTGCGGTTTCACAATGGAAATTAAGGATGGTACTTACATGTGTATGGTTGGGTACCGATCCAGCGGCTAACTTGTGCTACTTATGATGTTTTTTGCCACTAGAGAACTGTTTTTCTCTGATTGTTTTGGCGGTGATGTCTTTACTCTTGCGCGAAATTCTATTAAGTATATGACGTGGGTATGTCGTCAGTTGATTGATTGATAAGCAGTTCTTTTCCGTGAGCAATTGTTTGGCGTTTTTGTGTTTGACGCGGAAAACTGTAAATCTCATTGTCTTTCCAACCCCACATTTTGGGGCTTGCTTGTGCTGCTTGCGTCTCTCTGCAAACTTGCTTGCCCCTAGAGAATTGTTTGTTTCTGATTTTATTGGCAGTGGTGGCTTCAATCGTGGGTGTTATTCTATTCTATTTACGTGTATGACGTCGGTGTGGCCTCAATCGCTTAACGAGTAGTTCTTCTTGTCGTGCTCTATTGTTTGGCGTTTCTTGCGTTTAAAGCGATAAACTGTGAATCTTAAGTCTTCCTATCCCCACATTTTGAGACTTGCTTGTGCTGCTTGTGTATTACTGCCAACTTGCTCGACACTAGAGATTATCACTATTATTATTATTATTATTATTATTATTATTATTATTATTTTTAAATAGTTTTTATTTTTTTTATTAACTTTTTGATGCTTTTTATAATTGTTATTAGTAGTCTTTAGATAGTCATTTTACGACAATTCTCTTTCGTACACAAGAAGAATGTACATAGGGTATATATTTTAATATTTCATATTCTTGAATCTGTAAATAGTCTATTTTTTTTAAATCTATGAATAAAGTTTTGTTTTATTATTATTATTATTATTATTATTATTATTTTTATTAACTTTTTTATGCTTTTTATAATTGTTATTAGTAGTCTTTAGATAGTCATTTTACGACAATTCTTTTTCGTACACAAGAAGAATGTACATAGGGTATATATTTTAATATTTCATATTCTTGAATCTGTAAATAGTCTATTTTTTTTTAATCTATGAATAAAGTTTTGTATTTAAAAAAAATATATATATATTATTATTATTATTATTATTATTATTATTATTATTATTATTTGTTACGCTGGCAATCTTTTAGACAGGTAGCTTGCAAACCAAACTGAACGCAGTGTTGTCGGAACAGCAACCAGGAGATTTATTCCAAAAATGAACTTAGTTTCCACGAAGTAAAACTCCACAACAGCACGTAACTCGATAAACTGACAAGGCCTCCGCAAACTTCAATTAACTTGATGAACTCACACGGCCTCCGCCAACTTGAATAAACACTGCTTCGTCACACTTCACTAAACACGACTAACGTCAAACTCTCTTCGCTTGTGAAAACTAGTTAAAAATTCGCTTGGACTCGCCTACTTATATGCTTTTACAATAAGGTTCTAGAACTTTCTAAATAGTCTAATTATAGAAAGATTACAAACTATACCGCTTTAGAAACGCTTACACAAGATCCAAAAATAAACAAACTTTAAACTCTCGCGAAGCTTCTAGAAAGTCATGCTAGTCACGCAATACAATTTTTCGTAACATTATTATTATTATTATTATTATTATTATTATTATTATTATTATTATTATTATTATTATCATTATTATTATTATTAAAGGTCAGGACTTAAAAGACCTGAGTTAAAACCAAATGTTAGACAAATAGACCAAGTTTGCTTAAGTTTTTAAATAACCGATTCCACAACTGCTTGCATGTTTTACGCTTTCATAAAACAAGCAACTGAGATTTACCTGGATTGTCGAAAGCAAACCTAACTTTTCTCTTTAAAGCCAGAAAAAATACATAAAAATACCTACTCCATTTAAGAGGCTGTCCGCGTAAGAACCGATAAGGCAAATTTCGGTCTATCACGGATTGCCCTGATTTTTTCAGTGGAAGATAACTATCCTATCCCATGAAGAAATATCACATTTATTTGGACCAACTCAATTTTTTCTCTATATTACAGGAAGATTTTCTCGGTCACCTAAAACTGGCCCGTTTACCTTCAGAAGTGGTGCGATTTTGGTGAAACTTTAGGGCTCTGTCAAACCTACCTTACAAAGCCGAATAAGCTGATTATTTTACACACAAAAGTTTTAACTCTCATTAACAGTGTCAAAGTTTAATGGATGCATTCTGTGGAAAGTTGGCTGAGATATGATTTTTTTTAAATGACCGTTAATTTGCTCAGCAGTAAAAGTAATTTGCATAACTAGAGCTGAACGGTAATTTCGCGAAAGTGGCACCTGACCCAGACTCAAGTCTGTGATGAATCAGAAGTACTAAGACCAGTCTACTTCTTAATGTAATAAAATTTGTGGGCACTCTTCTCTGCGCGCTGTACAAAGTTCCGTTAATGTTACAAATTCGCCATTTTGACAGCAAAGCTGGAATTGTAACGGTCCGCATTTGATCCACTAATTTCCACAGTTTTAACGTTTCTAGTTATCACCAAATGTCATTGAACCCTTTAAATGTTGGACTTTTGAAAACATGAGGAGAAAACTTGGTAATCGCTTTTTCTTGGTTTTTTCCTGGTCGACGATCAGAACGCGACTTCATTCTCCGTATGCAAATTAGCCTTAGATGCGTCGTTTCAACAAATTGAATTGACAGGAAACATAACTGCTTATATTTCACATTTTTAAGGGAAAATATCTCTTAGAACTTTCCACGGAAAAACACGAACGATATATGACTTAGAATCCCCTTAGGTCTGTTTCACGAGGAAGAAGTAGTAGAAGAAGATATGTTTACGCGAATTAAAATAATTTAATTACTGTGGCCCGTCACGCATTCCCCGAGAGTGGCTGTGTATCGATCAGTTCTTTTATCTGATTATATTTTTTTTGAAGTGATAGTTATTGATAATCATACAATTTAATCACTGTTAATTCCGATTCTTTACTGGGTGGGAAATACCGTGCTGTTGTATTTATTCATTCTACGACCGTTTTAACTGAGTCAGTATCCCCGGGAGTTACCGTGAGGATAGGGTTTAATATGACAGCCCATGGTGTAATACACTACAATTAGCTACAAAGTAGTCACTTGGACACGGCCACTCTTATTCACGAGCACTAGCACAATATTTTCAATTACAGAATCAAAAATTAATATTTTGGAAATAGCCCGCAAACAACTTCAGAGATACCGTGCGACACCATAGGACCACACCTGCAAAGTACTTTCATTTCCTAGATCCCTTGCTAACCATAGGCTATACAAACGTTAGGGTGGTATTAACAGAGCATTGTGTTTATCGCCAATTAACAATATTTCAGTAAAAATGAGGAATGGCATGCAGAAAAAGGCATAGTTATTGTTTACGGTCCTTCTCCTGTTAAATCCCAAAAGTTTTGCCGGCTGTTAATCACACTAAATTAAGGATCCTGAAGGATCCATATGTTCACTCCTGAGCTGTTGGAGAAAAGCACGTGCAATCTTGTATGAAAGACGAAAGTTTGTCAACTAGGTCTCCTTTTCTTTCCCTGGATTTGAATGGTATTTTAAAGTGACACAAGATTTTTTTAGCATTACCACGTTGAACTGACTAGGTTGTTCTTCCTTTGACATACACATAGGTTGAAAGCTTCTGGTTGAGGGTGTTGTGGTCTCAATTCTTCAGCGATTTCTGCAACAAGCTTTTGCCTTTCGAACTGCTCGTCTTCTTGCAACAGATCTCTATGGTCAAGTTCAACTTGTATACACTTAGGATTATGTTTACGTGTTGACTCAAACGGGCCTAGAGTCCAACATGGGCTGGCAATAGGTGAGCACGGAATTGGAAGGGGATTGGGGGAAACTCCCTATGATGGCCTATACGGGGAGATTCCGCCCGAAAGGAGTATCTTTTTCAGGCTTCAGGTATATGAAAGGGTGGGCATTTCACTAGATGAAGTATATAAAAGGGCGAGTGCGCTTATTGCAGCCTTAGCAGCATCTTTGGCGGTTCTTAAAGAAAAAAGAATTAAGTTTAAGAATTTAAGGAAAAAGTAGAAGGACTTATTTTTTCAGAAATTAATATACACGGGAGAAATTTCACCCTCTTAAATACAAATGCTTATTAAAGTAGAGGTGGAACAGTGGGGAGAGAGGGTGGATGGTAAAGTAGGTTAAAAATGGAGAGGTGAGATGAAGCACATTGTTCAAGAGGGTATAAATACAAAAAAAAAAAAAAAACAGCAATCTGGAGGCATTTTTGAAGACTTAATGAAAACGTTATCAAACAAGAAAAACAGACAAATCTTGTCCAATAAACCTCTCCGACAAATGTGTGGACATGGTTGCAGACTGTTCAATCGTGCTCTTCTCGACCCTTCGGCGTCAAGTTTTTTCAAGTTTCTTGCGACAGGAGGAGCAAATCGGCTATCTAAAGTTGAACTGAACACTAAGGTACTTTTAAGTATCACTAATTTTTACAAAACCCGGAGACATGTTTTAAACACTGTCTAAGTTCAAAAAAGTTATTTTTATTGCAAGAATGAAATACTTTTCATACACGTGAACGACACCTCGACCACAATCACTCCTAGCCTCGTCCCCAGGACATTCTTCTTAGAAAATGACAGGGGCGGGAAAGCCCTGGGGACGAGGTTGAATCCTGACTCCGTGTAGAAAGTTCTTTTTTCCCCATTTATAATGCTCTTCAAACAATCATCAGAAAACAATCTTTCGCAACACGCGGATTAACCGGTATGTATAGTATTTTAAAGGTAAGAATTGATTAGGGCAAGATACACGGCTGTCAAAAAGATAGAAATAACAAAAAGCTCAAATAAACTGGAAACGAACTTCAGAAAACTTCGCAAGATAAAATGTTAAATAGAGAAATTAAAATATCTCTGTACGTTAAGACAATTGTTTGCATGAAGAAGAAAAAAGAATGATGGAACAAAACTTTGACTTATTTCGCTGGCTATCTGGAAATTTACGACGTGTCTTCCTGCCACAGAAGTTATTTTGCCAGTATGATCCAGAGTGTGACCGGGGTATTGACAAGACCTTAGGCTCGATTTCCGCCCTCTCCCCGTCCGTTGGGGGCTCGTTTTCCAGAACAGCGGCTTACAATCGAGCCTAACAAGACCTTGGCGCTCGCAAAAACCTGTGCCTAAAGCAGATTGGCATTTTAGTGTTAGCCTGTGTACACACTACCCTCCCCCCCCTTGGGAGAAGCGGCCCCTTCTATGATTTTTCCTGAGAGGAGGGGGTCTGTACACAGGCTATTTAGTGTCTGTGCCTTGGGCAGATTGTCATTTCAGTTCCCAATACCCACCAAGCCTCGAATACGTACTCCCGCTAAAATGAGTTCATTTTCATTGTCTTTGCTACACTTGCTACACTTAGACAAGTGACAGCTGGCTAAGTGCAAGGTAATATCATCCATGCACTCTGTGACCAACACATTTTCCTCCACACCCCTTCCGGGACCTCACTCTGTCTGCGATCTCGCGGAAGAACTGCTTGATGAAATAGCCGAAACAGCCATTTTTCACAATTGATCTCTTCGGCGATTTCGGTGACATAATTATATTTAATTTGAAACTGGCACCTCTTGCATTATAATTCAATCAGATTGAACCAAAACAAGATCATCGTTGGAATTCGGATGTTATACCCTAACAAAAACTGAAAAGATACTCCCTTTTGCGTTTATTCACTGAAAAAAGGAACTATTTTTCCTTTTCATTCTGCTACCGATAAGCTACCGATAAACGCTTTAAAGATCTTTGAATGAAACTGAAATTTACCCCTAATTTAAGATAGAAAAAGTGTGGGGCCTTTTTTTTTTTTCTATCATAGTGCCATGTACAAAGATCTGCCTTCTCCCGATAAACAAATATCATAATAAAGCTTTCGACGTTAACGCTATTTTTTATAAAGGCACGCAAAAAAGAGTGCCCAAGCATTTTCGTGTACTGACAGGAGGAATTACCTTGCAAGTGAACTCTTATTTTCTATTATTATCAATAACTATCATTTAAAAAAAAGATGATAATATTATCGAATTGATCGGCACAACGCTATTGTTTTCTAATCGACCACCCGTCTTCAGGAATGCGTGACAGGCCACAGTAATTGAATTATTTTAAGCCGCAAACATCTATCATGATATATTATTCAGCTGCTTCTTCCTCGTTAAAAAAAAAAAAAAACAGACCTTAAGGGGATTCTAAGTCATGGTTTGTGTTTTTCTGTGGAAAGGAGGATTATTTTTCCCCTTAGAAATGTGAATGTAACGATTATATTTCCTGTCAATTTGTTGAAACAACGCATGTAAGGCTAATTTGCATACCGAGAACGAAGTCACGTTCATCGTCGACAAGAAAAAGACCCAAGGAAAAGCGATTACTACGTTTTCTCCACATGTTTTCAAACGTCCAACATTTAAAGGGTCTAATGATATGTAGTGATATTTAGTGATAACTGGAAACGTTAAAGCTGTGGAAATTAGTCGATCAGATGCGGACCGTTACAATTCCAGCTTTGCCGTCAAAATGGCGAATTTTGGATCATTAACGGAACTTTGCACGGCACGCAGAGAAGAGTGCCCACAAATTTTATTGCGTTAAGAAGTAGACTGGTCTTAGTACTTCTGATTTATCATAGACTTGAGTCTGGGTCAGGTGCCACTTTTGCGAAATTACCGTTCAGCTCTAGTTATGCAAATTACTTTTCCTGCTGAACAAATTAAAGGTCATTTACAAAAAATCCTATCTCAGCCAACTTTCCACAGAATGCAACCATTAAACATTGAAACTATTAATGAGAGTTAAAACTTTTGTGTGTAAAATAATCAGATTATTCGGCTATGTAAGGTAGGTTTGACAGAGCCCTAAAGTTTCACCAAAATCGCACTACTTCCGACGGCAAACTGACTAGTTTTAGGTGACCGAGAAAATCTTCCTGTAAAATAGAGAAAAAATTGAGTTGGTCCAAATAAATGTGATATTTCTTCATGGGATAGGATAGTCATCTTCCACTGAAAAAATCAGGGCAATCCGTGATAGACCGAAATTTGCCTTATCGGTTCTTACGCGGACAGCCTCTTAAGCGCTGACTTATTTAGCGCGAAATTACGTCTCCTACTGGAGACGGGAACCGCCAGGCTACGTGGTCATACGAGTCACGCAAAGTTCTAGACGTCTGACGGGCAAACGCTGTACCTTCATTTCATAATTTTTTTTTCCACGATCTCTCTCGGTGCAATGTCACTGCATCGAGACTCTCTACCAAGTGTGCTAATCCTGCCGCGAGGTGATACGATATGAGAGCTGTGAAAATTTTTTCCCGTACTGAAAAAAACTCTCTTGCTTTTTGTTATCTTCAATTTGCTATTAGGCCTTTGGACCTGTCATTTCCCGCCAAAAACGCGCCATGCGAATGTGTTGTCTTTCACATCGGCTTACGTCTGGGGATTGACGGTCGAATACACTTAAGTAAGCCGTCAGAAGACGTCATAACCAAAATTTTCTAGCATCGACAGGTAACAAGATTTTCTACCCATGGTGCTCCGCTACGCTGCTTCACCCTAGGTGTAGCCTACACAACAGAGGTTATTGGGGGCGCTCAGGTTTGGGGCGCGAGAGCGAAGCGACAGACCCGCGAGAAGAGGGAATCTTTTCTCTTTTCTCTCATCTCGCGTGTGTAGCGCTTCACACGCCTGCCCCAAAACCCGCCTGAACGCCTCCAATAACGCCTTCTGTGCAGACCGCGGTAGGTGATGATTGATAATTAGAGACCTTTAGCATCACGTTTTTCATGGGAAACTGCAAACCGCAAACCGCAAAATGTCACGTGACCACGACCTTGGGGTCACGTCTGCAGTTTGCAGTTCACGTTTGAACCGCAGGAAGGGCTTCCAGCGGTAAGTGATTTACGGCAAGGTTTTTTGCCGCAAAAAATTATACGACCTCGCGTTTAAAGGTATGAACTAGCTTTTTATATCCGTTTGCGATGTGTTTGTTGGATTTTGATCTCGAATCAATGAATTATTGCTGATTTTTTGGGCATAAGCGTACGGGAAATTTTTTGCCAGGGGGGACGGTAAACCTTTTGCCCAAAAAATTCTTGCAAGTTGCCCGAATTTTGCCGAAACGTACAGTCGAAAAGAAACGAGGGCCACACGATGCAACAACAGAGGCCGCACTGGTATATGAAGGTGGCTCGATACTGTAACAGTTTTTCAGGGTCAATACCTCCCAATTCTGAGCATAACTACGTCGCCATAGACAAACATTTAGAAAAATTGCCACCACAGTTTTATTAGATAAAGATGAAAATTTGTCATGATCAGAAATGCAATGACATCGGAGTTGTCATAGCAACGAAATGACGCCATTGCCTATATTACTTGCAGTAATATTTCTCGGCACAGGGAACTGTTCTTACAAAATCGTTCAAGGAAGCTTTTTCCTCAAATAGTCGTCTCGATGTTCGTGAAGTTAAAACGGAAACTGTGAGAGTGTTATTGGGATATTTTGGGATGAAGTTTTCATCATTACAAATATGGTAAAAAGCGAAATGTTGATGTTTGGCCGTTATCGAACAGAGAACTAGTCAGCCACTTCTTCATTTTCAGATCAATTGCTGATGCTATCTGCCATACACTATTCTACAAGCGGGAGATGGTTCTAGAAAGATATGCGGAAGTTTATTCTAATCAATTCACGACTGGAAAGAGCCCATTCCAGTTAGTGCAGTGCAGTACAGTACTCAACCGTAAAAAACCTGACATAAACCTGATGAAGACTGGTATTGGCCAGTCGAAATATCGCAACTTATCTCTATTTCACGTTGTTTGATCAGTCCCCGCAAAAGTCTTCTTGACTGTAACGTTTTGACCTATTTTGACTGATCACGATCTTTTCGGATCCGACATTCAGCAAGATTGATCGTACACGGTTTTTGCAGTGGTTTTTTTTTTTACCTTAACTAAACACAGTAAAAAACTATAAATATGTAAATCAACGTGTGATACCCTTTCCTAATAACCAGAAACTCATCACGTGCTACGCAACCTATGTCTCGAGAGAATGTAACTGGATTATTACGCCGACGTCAGGATTTTTCTCAGAATAAAATATAAACTATTTATCTCTTCAAAATAACAATAAAAAAACATGAAAACGTCTTTAAAACCTGGCTTTGCCCAAACTTTCTCTTGCTGCCCAAAAAATCTGAGCTGCCCAAAACTTGGGGGGCTGCAGCCCCCCTCGCCACCCCCGGCCCGTACGCCTATGTTTTTGGGCGATTAAAGTGATGCACTTCGACTTGATGAAAACAACATGGCGGCCCTAGACAACGAACGCGTGGTTCAAATCAATTTTATCAAGTTCCTTTCTGCCCTACTAAGAAAGGAAAGTATTCTGTTCCAATCCAGAGTTAAATTTTTTTTTCTATCTTGTTACTGAATTCATAACTTAACTCAGTCTCTCTTTAGTTCCTATTTTTAACGTATCACTCCGCGAATTTCATTTTATTTTGCTTATTTCTTTGAGACCGGTGATCCCAGGCTTCATAAAGCCTTGTGGTTTCTTCTGGGCTCCCTTGCAACATTACAATTCCTATATGTATTCTTGTATTGTATTATATTTTGGCTGAATAAAAATGAACTGAACTGAACTGAACTGAACGCCTTGCTAAAGTTTGAAATCTCGGAAACGCGAAACTGCAAACGCGTAACTGCGGTTTGCCGTTTGCGGTTTGCAGTTTACCTGATGCTAAAGGTCTCTACTACCACAAAGAACACGCCCTTATCTGTTAGTCTTCTAGAGGAAAGCTAAGCAAGCTACGAGTTTGTCATCGCTTACAAGCCCATAACATCCTTAGCGGTTTAGTTTATCGATTTATGTCCCTTGAGTGTCGCCCTGCAAGTCAGTAATCTGTGTTGACCAAACATTGTATTCTGTGTGTGATATAATAAGTAGTTACAGTTTTACCTTCTGGACATCAGGTCAATTCAGAAACTTGCAGTGAGCAGAAAAACGTTGTAATAACGCTTACCCCCAATGAAGTTCGTGCTTAGCTTCAATGCTCTTTAGGACCATTGACCTCATCCTATCCATTAAAGAGGAGAAGCATTCGGTGATAACACCAAGCTCTTGAGCAGCACGGGCATTTGTGGTTGACATGTAAATGATTTGGGATTTGGAATCAACGCCGGGCCAGGCTTTTTCAAGCTTCCTCACAATTTCATCCTTGACACTTTGAACGCCGTTCTCATTCAGCTGGTCCCACTTGTTGAACACAAACAAAGCGCACTTGGATAACAGATTTTCCTGCATGTGGAGCCATTTGCTATTTTCATCTTTCTCTCCCTCTGGACCACCGATGGACACGTACCTCGCTTTTTGCAGCAGTTTTTCAAGCTGTGAGCCAAAATTGAAGTTCAAATCTTTAGGTTATTTTTTTTCTTCATGCTGATTGCAAAGCTTTCTTTAAGCCGGGAGGAGACAAAATTGGGGAAACCAGTTAAATGCGCCTTGTCTTAACATGAACATTTGTCCCGAAGGCAGGTTAATACTTCTTATCTTTTAGATAGCACGTGTAATCATAATTCGTAGACGGCTTTAAGGCTGGTTTTCACTAGCGACGGAGTTGGATCGAGTCGTAGTCAGAAGCGTGGAACTTTACGATCTAGTGAAAACAGTGTTCTGATTTCTGATTCCTTTTACGACTCCGTCGTTTACGATCAAGTGAAAACTGGGTCGCCGGATTCGCAAGCGAAAGCGGAAGAACTAAACCAATCAAAAAGCGTGGGATTGTGATTAGTTTTACTTCCCTTTCTGCTTCCGACTCCGACAATCTGGTTTCACAAGATCATAAGCGGAACGTAAGCGACAGAGTCGTATGCGCAGTCGGAAGAAAATGGAAACGTTCTGATTCTTCTGACTCCTATTCCGTCGCGCTTATGACTCCGCTTACGACTTCGATTTTTGATTTTCACTAGGTCATAAGCGCTTACAAGTCCACTTACGACTCCGACTCCAACTCCGTCGCTAGTGAAAACCAGCCTTTCCTGGTTTTTGACGTCAGAGCTGACCCTTTTCTTCCGACACTTTCTTTCAGCCTTGGCTTTTTAACAATTTAGTTAACACTCACCCTAGATAAATAAGTGGTCTGTTATTCGAATGCAAATGTCAATATATAGATTTTGCCACGGCTACAAGCGAAGCTCCCGTTAATAAATTTAAACCTAACTTCTAGTCCAAAAATCAGTTAACTTAAGGCCAGATTCATATAAATTTTGAGGGAAAGGCTAAGCGATTTCAGAGAAAAAAATTAACATGCAAACAGTCCAAGAATGAAACAAATCTTGCATCGAGTTATATGTACACCCAAAAAATAGCTGCAATCATGCATCTTTCATCACAGTAGATTAGGCGTGCAAAACAAAATCTGCCCCCAACAAAAAAATAACCCAGTTGCCCACCCACGCCACCTTTATTTTATAAGCCTTAGGTTAATTTAATTGGACAGCCCAGAAATATATAACAATTATTCACCGAAGTGGAGGTGGGTAGTCCTGGATATTTACCGAACTGCGAAGCAGTGAGGTAAATATCCACGACTAGCCACCGACACTGAGGTGAATAATTGTTTTAGTATATACTAAAACAGTGAGATAATTGAGCACAAAAATGATGATTTTTAACTCAAATACTGTTGCCAACGATTACAATTTTGGCGCGTAATGACCGGGCGGCTGCGGCCGTCGCTTTTTCTTGCCGACAAATAAAACTTTTGAAGGCATTTGTTTGGCTTTTGCTGGGAAATTTCTTCAAAAGGAGTTTTGAATTCTTTTTGTATTTAAAATCATTCTATAAAAAAAGATTATTAAATTTAGTTTTAAGCTTATTTATGAACAACTCAACTAAATAAAGTAACGCAAGACTTAAAACTTAATTTGCATTTGTAAACAAAAAACTTTTTCACCGGTTTTATCGATAAATTCGTGTCAAAAAGATAAAGCTTTACCTGTTAAAACTTCCAATCCGAACTTCGTCACCTTCTTCGTGTATTTCGGAAACAGCTTGCTTGATTAGTTGTGAAATTTCTTTGTTTGTTTACGGCAGCAAACCGAGAAGGCATTTTGCTCGCAACTTACGCGAGTTTGGCGTCGCTTGCTCGGAGGAACTGGAGGTGAATCAGTGAATAGTGCAGGATATTCACTGATTGAGTAGCCAATCAGAGCGCGCGAAGAACACTATCCACTGTTTTAGTATATACTAAATATATATATTTTTAATGTTACTTACTTTATCTTTTTGAACTCCACCTCCAAGTGAACTGTTAGCGACATAAATAAAAGCAAAGGCTTCAGGCAGATACTGGATCACCATGTTGTCCATCTCGTCAGATTCCCCGACACCAGGGCTGTCAATTATCACTATATCGTTCTTTGATTCAGAATAAAAAAAGAAATTCAAAGTTGGTAATAATAAACAAGTTACATCAGTTCCGGTAAGGGCATACCGATCGTCTTAGCTTGAACTAGTTTAATTTTTATCAGCACAATTACGAGGAAAAATAACTGATAGGGTATGAATGAAAGTTAAAAATTTTGTCGGTCGTTTGACAGTCGGGCTATTGTGCAGGAATCAAAGGGGGCAGACGAATCTTTCAGCCTAACTACTCACCTTATTGGTTAAACTTTCAATTCTCCCGATCCCCTTAATCTTCCTCTGCCTTCAAAATCAAAGATGGCGACAAAACCAACGCAATTATACTTAGATATCACTCGCCCAGAAATAAAATAAACACCTGCAGTTCAGACTATTCCTGTATAACTTTTCAATAGGGTTATTTGTTGTGACGCGGCTCTACCTGGCCGGCGAAGACATCGAAAATTCCAGCAGTTTTTAAGAATAGGCCTTTTATAGCAGTAGGTCAGGTGACCAAGCCTGACAAGAAGGCGACAAGGAAAAGAGGCAAGGCTGATTTTGCAGTGACGAATATAATTGAACTGACAACAAGGACCACAATTTTTCTTTTAAAACAAACAGGCGCTGTATAACGGCAAGGAATAGAAAGAGAGTAAAAAAAAAAAGGTAAGGAGAAATAGTGAGGCTTGTAATGTACAGGGGAGAGATTTTGCTACATTTAAAAAAATTCAGCATTTATACAGGATCCAGAAAAGTTCAGTTTGAGCACCTTTATGTTTTAACGCCTTTTCATGTAAAATATTTATCCTCATTGAAGAGCTAAATTAGGAAGCACGATATCACCTTTATGAATCTATTTTGAACAGATTTCCGACTCCATATCTCCTGATCGACGTGTTATGTACAAATCGCCATTTTCAAAGCAACAAAAACCTCTGAACCTTCCACGTGAGCCCCAAACCCGTTGCCCGAAGGTCAA